ACGTGGTCGGTCGTCTCTCTCTCTCTCTCTCTCTCTCTCTCTCTCTCTCTCTCTCTCTCTCTCTCTCTCGCTCTTGTGAATCACGAACTATTAATCTATCTCCAAAGTATATCGCTATCGTGTTTAAACTTCGTTACGTTTCCGATGCGTGCTATGTCTCGCACTTGGTAATTTCGAGAAACTATCGTTACGTTGCGGTTCTCAAATCTCTCGTTCTATTCTCGATTTAACGGAGTACTTCTGGTTTGAGTTTGGTATCTGTGTCACGTATATAGAACCGCGCGTCGTTATTATTCCAAATCTCAAAAGGATTACAAATATATCGCGTTATCGCTCGGATGTGTAATGAGGCGTGGTAGCAGCTTTTCCCGAGCAAGAAACATTGGTAATAATTAAAATGCAGACTAAAAGAATAAAATTCAACCAGTAGATTGCAACAGTTTCCTCTAGAGAATACTGCACAAAGTTTTGCACGAGGGAAAAAATAAATTGCAAGTATAAGCGATTGTACTTTCAAATAATTGTGCAGAATGGCAAGCTGGCATTTAAAGAGTTTATGAGTTTTATGCAAAATTTAAGTTAAACAGCATTCGAAAATGTATAATAAAAAGTTATACATTTATGTAAATGCATTTATGTATGTCTTTAATTTAATTTAATTTACAAAATAATCTCTTTTATCATCTCATATTTTCATCTTTTGTAATTTACTTTTGTAATTACTTTTTATTATTTACTCTATTTGTATTATTAATAATATTCTAAATATAACCGTCTAAATATTTTTTTAAACAGGCTAACACAACGATAGTATGCAACGTTTATCTCACTTATCAATCCGCCTTGGGCAGAACACTCGTCGATTAAATTTTAAAGAATACTTATTACGATAGAAAGATAAAATATCGTGACGTCGACATGTATTACAAGATACGTTCTCAAATTTTTTCACCTAGTATGGAATGTTCTCGATACCAATTTTCTGTGGACGTTCGCTACTGCCCGTGCGAAAAAAAACAGTTGCGTCAAACGGACGGGAATTTCATTTTTCAATCGAATTTCGGAACGGACAGGCGTATGGTTCGCGTGGAATTTCGTTCGCGCATCATTGCGTTTCCCCTATGCAGCTATTGGAGTATATACAAAACTCTGACAGTTGTTCGTGGCTCGTTTTTACTGCAAGATTATCACATCGCTATAATAAACGAAGGCTCGGTTATCGGCATGCGGGTGCGAAGATGTTCGAAATTGTTAACATACAATCAAGAGCCTTTGATTAATTACTCTGACACTGAATTTGATTAGTCGCAACAATGCGATGATTCTTTTTCGAATGTACGCAAATTGCCAGCATGAGAACGCAGATATAACGTCACTTCCTAGATATATTCGCTAAATCCAATTATATTCGGTCAATGAAAAACAGTGGAATTTCTGGAATTTAGTAAAGTGTCCTTTAGTTGCAGAACGCTTATTAGAAATACCAGAGAGATTACAAATATTGTTGAACTATTGATCACTACTGAAGAACTAAAAGAGTGAAAAAATTTGACGGAATAGCAATATTTTAAAAATTGCAATAAATATTAATTCATTTGTGTCGATAAAAAAAATCAACATATTGGACTAGGAGATTTCTAGATTTTTGTGACAGAATTGATGCGCGACATTGGAACGTTCAATGTGATTATATTTCGTACTCTTTGTTGTTGCTATAGTATATCTTCCTTCGAAACAGTAGATATCGGAACATATCTAGTCACGATGACAATCGCAATTTAATTTATCGACAACATATGAAGCACTGAATTAAGAGGCAATTGTCGATTTGTAATAGCAATTGTCAAAAAAGTGTCAAATCTAAGATGTAAAATTTATATAAAATTTAAAGGCAGTAATAATACTGTGTATATAAGTATAAAATAAGCGTAAAAAGCGTATAATGTATGACCTTGCATTTATCGTTGATTTTTGTTCAATATCAATTCCTATAGAAGATATAAAAATAATTCTAATATATTATAAAACCATATATATTTTAAAAGCCAATGGAGACGTGCCAATAACACATATGAAATACATTTCTACGGCCACAACGGCCTTTAGCTGCTCGTATTAAAAAAAAAAAAAGGAACAGAAAGAGAGAGAGAGAGAGAGAGAGAGAGAGAGAGAGAGAGCGTGTGTCGCGAACCGATGCTTGTTTGAACAATTCTAGATTGGATCGACACGCTCGGCCCACCATGAAATGCAAAACCAAGAATCGTTGTGCTATAGCACAGTTGAAAAAAGTAACCATCAACGAAATTGCTTAAAAATGGTAAAAAATACGTAATCCATGAATTTCAGACGATTTATGGCGTTTGCAATGACTTTTCGGAAAATAGTTTGCACAAATCTGTGGTGCTGAAAAACGGCAAATGATTTTGTTCACCATTCGGAATAATGTTGGTACAGTTGATTCATTTCTTCTGCATGCACAATTTCTTCATCAAGTTTTCAAGAAGTTTAACTGAAGTTTATTTATCGCACGGTTTTCTCGTTGCCGATAATACCAAGAATTTCGCGTGAAGATGTTTTGCATTATTTAGACTCTTTTAAAATATAATTTTCTTCTCCACGCAAAATTTGTGGAATGAACCAGCTTTATTCTTACAAAAACTATTGATAGTCCATCAAGTTATTTACTTAATTGGACTTAATTGAAAAAAGTAGAAGATTTAATTGGATTAAATTAAATATGTTATCGATTATGTTCAGCAAATTTTAACTGAAAGTGACATATTTTATTTTGAGGAACTATTACAGTTTCGAGATATTATTTAAGAAAAAGAATAAAATATTATGACATCACAGTGACAATGCGTTTCAATCGATATCTCGTTGCGAGAAAATAAGGACTAACGAAGAGGTGGTGCGCCAGCCTGAAAAAAAGGAAGAGACGCGGATGTACGCGAACCGTTATGTGCATTCCAACGGTACGGGCACGCGAAATTGATCTTCAAATTGGCCATTAGGGAAGTCTTCTGGCCGCATCGCGAAGATTGCGCAATGCGTCCCCATAATTGAGAAGGGAAAAAGGATAAACGCGTCACCAGTCTCCCGCGAGGACTCAACCATGTCTTTGCCACCATTACTTTTATTTCGACCTCCATGTACACACAGTACAGGAAATGAACTTTGATAACGTCAAGAAAATAAGTAAATTACATCCGTTGTTTTCCTGTTTCTTTTTTTTTACGTTTCTGAATTTTTAAACCTTTGTTTCTTAAATTACCATTAAGAAATTTTTAAATGATTAAATACGGATATGCTTTAATTTTTAAATATTTAGACACAAACACATTAGAAACTATTTTTATCAAGTTTATTTGTATGCGCCCTGTTATATAACAACAAAGCAGTTATGCACGTAATTTAATAAAAGGTAATATTCGCGTCTTATTTTTTTGCATCGCAACTTGTATTTCCTCTTTTTTTCTTCTTTTTCTTCAGAATTTTCTATTGAAACATAATGAGATTTCACACCGTTCTCTTGAGAATTTTATCTCGTAACTAGATAGAGATATATGTATATCTCTAGTCAAGTTGAGAGTAAGGATCGTAGAGGAGGAGGACGAGAGTTTTCACTCACAGGTATATATATAATGTGTGTGTGTGTGTGTGTGTGTGCGTGTGTGCGTGCGTGCGTGCGCGTGTGTGTATCTTCCCAGCGGCTAAATGTCAATGTCGGGAGCGGCAGCGACGTGTCCTTCTTTCGTACGGTGTCTCGGGGCCGGAAACCCGAAGTGTCTAGCAGACGCAAAAATTGCGCAATGCTAAGCACCTGAGCGTGCTCTCTTCCGCTTTACGTGCCGCGGGACACGCGACAAAAGTCTCCGCGCGTCTCCTCAGTGACATGCCGGCGGTAGTCGTGAATAATGCTCGGTATCCGGCGAACGGACGGAGACCACGAACCAGCTAAATAATAGTGTTTCTCGATGGTTTTTTTTGGGTGGCGTTTACTTGAAGATTTTCGAATTCCGCAAGATGCGAACGCACACAAACATCCCAGACATTTCGCATTCGAGTGGACGAATGTTAGTCCACGATCGTATTCCACTTCGCAAAATTGATGGAATTAAAACGTTCGTTGGAAAAGCGATGTTTATCTCGGATACTCTAGCGAGATATTTCTCAAAAGTTTTCATTAAACTCGAGAGTACGTATACCTTCGCGAATTTTCGGTCCACCTCTCCTTCCTGAGAAGTGTCAAAGTGTACCCTAATTGGAGGAGGTTTAATATTGAGGATTGAATTTGGCAAGTTGAACTACGTAATATTTATGAAATTTTTAAGAAATTATACAATAATACGAGAGAATTATACAATAAAATTTTTATGAGAAAATTAACTTCAAATTTATTTGCTAAACGAATTGCACGAATTTGTCAAAAAATACAATAAAGCAATAAAGATTGGTGCAATTTCTATACAATTTTATATTTTCATTAACGCGAATTGAAATAATTATTGAAATAATTATTGAAATAAACGTGATATCGGACAATTAATTAAAAGTCCAAAATGTCAAAGAAGCCTTCAAGAGCGCGTTTGAACGTCGTTCGTTCCCGCCGTTTCCCTTCGGGCACTATCCCGGGAAATTAATCGGGACGCGCGTTGCGGTTAAAATTTTTAACCGTCCGCACAAACCACCGATACGTAGTTGCCGATAATCGATTAAGCGCAATTCATCCGACTTAGCTAGTGTGTGGCGTACCTGTTATTAAACAAACCGAAAACCATCCCAATCCCAGCGTTAATCTCGCTGGGATGTTAAAAAAGAGTCATGATTGAGCGAAATTTTGTGAGCGTCAAGGGAATCGCAAAATTCTTCTCCACGTACATAACAATTTTATCACTTTATACGAATCCAATAATTGATGAAGTATTCTGTTTGTTTTGCCCTATGCCAAATCGTACTCGACTAAATAATAAATTTAAAAATTTTCGGTCTGTGCTTTACCATAAAATATATTTTTCTTTTTATTTTGTTATGTTTGTTTTATTTTTATAAAAAAAATATGCTCTTTAAAAAAATATGCTTTTTAACGTATGTATAAATAATAAAATAGTAAATAATTCAAATTTATTTTACAAATCGGAAACATTCAATTAACAGCTTATATACAATGTCGATACATCGTTTAACGCAATTTGCCGTAATTCAAGATGATCGTGTATTAACACGCCGTGTTATTAAAGGCAACGATCTTAATTATCAATTTTCCCTAATCAGCTACTTTTTGTCCTTAATTCGCTTCTCGCGTTCTTCATAATTGCCACGATTGTCCTCCTCTCCCCTCAACATTTCAGAAGACTCGTTTAACGGTTTACATAATTCACATTATGAATTTACTCCGCACGTGCTGAACGGTATACAATGTTACGCGAATTCGCGTCCGATGTAACAGTACTCGTTAATTATATCTCATAATAATTCGTGCGTCACGCGCACGCATAAAGACGCAGGTGTACGCACCGCGCTGGAATCTATTTCATAGCTCATTTCCGTGGCTTCTCTCCAATCGCGCGCCTCTTTGATCCACGCAGATCCCCGAGATTATTTATCTTCGTTAAAACTTGCAAGAGTTGACTACACTTAAAAAAAAAAAAAAAAAAAAAAAAAA